TATCTGGTGCTCCCCCATCAGCTCCCCCAGCAGCTGCTCAAATTCCAGCCTGGAAAAAACAGGGGGTGAGAGGCTGCCGTGGGGCACAGAGCACTGCTGCGGTGCAAAGACCCACGACAGAACCACACAGACACACCGGTAGGGCTTATGCCCTGCAGCAGGGGGCTGGCAGTGACACACACACACACACAAAGTGCCTCCGGCCGTGGGGCGGCACGTACACACACACAGCCGAGGAGTCCTATCACACCTCAGACTCACCGGGGTGAGAGGCTGCCGTGGGGCACAGAGCACTGCTGCGGTGCAAAGACCCACGACAGAACCACACAGACACACCGGTAGGGCTTATGCCCTGCAGCAGGGGGCTGGCAGTGACACACACACACACACAAAGTGCCTCCGGCCGTGGGGCGGCACGTACACACACACAGCCGAGGAGTCCTATCACACCTCAGACTCACCGATGTAGCAGGGCCTGAGCTTTTGTGGGTAAAGCCCCCTTCATCAGATGCATTGGGGCGGACGTTACAGAAGCAGGGGGAATGTATAAGGGAGAAGTTGCTTGTGTGAATGAAGCTAAGCAAGTCGGAGGATGTGGGGTGGGGATGTGACTATCCAGTGAGGGGAAATTGCTTTTGGAGGGTGTTAGCCAGCCGAGCCTTATTCAGTGCTAAGCCGAGCGTGTGGAATTCTCAAAGGAACGCTGGTTCAGCTGTCTCCCTTTGGAACTGGCTTTTGAAATGCTTGTGTAGAAGGACGGCTGCTTTCAATCCATGACTGAGTGCCCAGGGAGGTTAAGGTGCCCCTACAAGTGTGTCTGTGTTGCCTTTCTGGAGGTCTGATTTGTGTCCGTTTATCCTTTGGGGCAGGGGCTGTCCAGTTTGGCCAATATCCACGGCAGAGGGGCATTGCGGGCCCTTGATAGCACAGATCACATTAGAGGATGTGCGGGCGTCTGAGCCCCTGGCAGACGCGGTTAGGTCCTGGGATGGTGACGTTTGTATAGATCCGTGGGCAGAGCTGGCAACGGGGTTTGTGGCAGGGATAGGTTCCTGGGCAAGTGGTTCTGTGGTGTGTTGTGTGGCACGCACAAACACACAACGTGCAGGGCGGTTCCCCTCCAGCAGGGGGCATCAGGGACACACGCAGAGCGTGTTATATGCAGTGCAGTGTGTGTGTTGTGGGAGAGCGACAAAGGGGGTCTCTAGCAGAGAGGCGGAATTCTCCCCCAGAGGGCCTCCGGTGAGCAGGCGCTGGCAAGCAAGGGCCCGTAGCAAACCCACAACTGCCTAGGCCAAGTGCTCCTCAGCTGCGGGCCTGGCAGCCAGTTAATTATCTGCAGCTAATTTCCTGTGCAGAACAGGAATGTGCCCAGGGCACAGGACGGGGCAGAGGCGCAGGCTGCAGGACACCGCCGCTGCACACCGGGGCCAGGCGGCAAGCGGACAAAGCGGGGTGTGCCCTTTCCCATCACTCTGCCTGGCCGGCGCACGGGGCTTGCCCAAGGCTGAATGCCCCGGACGCGCCAAGTGATTTCCTTTGAGCTTCGGGCTGCCCTCTCATGGACCTGAGGGAGAGAAGGGAGCAGCGAGAGATCCCAGAATGCACTGCTCTCCCGGCTGCCCGGAGTGGCCTCGGAGCGTAGGTGCTGGGTATGACACATGCCCATCTCCAGGGCGCAGGGCCGGGTTGGGTGGGGAGGCTGGCAGTAGGTACCTGTGTTTCCTCTGCTTCAGCTTCTCCTCCTGGATCTTGGCCGCCAGCTCCTCGATGTGCTGCTTCCGCTCCTGGGTCAAACCCGAGCAGCCCAGCCTGGTAAGCCGGCCGCCTGGCTCCCAGAGGTGGCTGGGGACAAAGGGGGCCCCGAAACACCTTCCCCAGGTGACTCGACAGGGGCAGGGAAGCAGAAGCAACAACGTCAGGCAACAACACGACCAGAACCCAGGGGTCCTGGCTCCCAGCCCTCGCCCCCCGCCCCCCGCAAGTCCCCTGGACCTCCCTCCCCTCCCAGAGCCCTGGGGGAGAAGCCAGGACTCCTCCCCTCTCTGTCTCTCAGACCCCCCTTGTGACTACCCCGCTATATCCCCCCGCCCCTTCTGCATCTCCATCCCTCCCTCCTGCCCCTTTCACCTCTGGCCTTCCGCCTCCGTCTCCTGGGAGCGGAGCTGCAGGGTCCGGAGCAGCTCTGGAGGGAACAGCAGTGTTAGTGCAGGGGTCCTGGCTCCCTGCTGGGGCCACCCCACAGCCCAGGGGCTCGCTCCGGCCTGCCCTCGGGCAGCTCCAATGGGCCGAAGAGAAGATTGCCAGACAGATGGGGGCAGGGAACCCTGCTATGAGAGGATGGGGAATGGAGGACACACAGAGGGCCTGGGATGGGGGAAATTGGGGGACCCTGGTGTGAGGGCAGGGGTCAAAGGGGACACACAGAGCCCCTGGTGGGGGTAACTGGGGGACACAGCCCCCCTGGCAGGAGAGAGAACGAAGTCTCTTTAACAGAGGGGGCTGGGAGGGGCCACACAGGAGCCCACACGGTATGCAAGCTGGTAACGATCACACCTGTCTCTTCTCAAGCCCGTCTCATGGGTGGGTCTCAAAGCGCTGGACGGACACGGTCAGCACCCTCCCCCGGCGGTCCAGCCCTTCCTGTGTCCCTCAGTCAAGCTGCCTTCCCTCCTGGTAAAAGCCTGCTCTCACCTTGCTTCTGGCTGCAGATTTCCTCCCAGGAGGGGGGGTGGAAACAACCAGGCTGGGACCCGAATCGAGTGCCCTGCGAGCCTGCAGATATCTGCTTTCTAGCCATGGGCTGCGCCTCTGCGGATGGCAAGGCAGATCTCCACGGCTCTTTTTGTGGGTGCAGATACAGGTCCGCACAGGGCTCTACCCGTGTCCTCTGGGATGTGGGGACATATCCCACCTGCTGACAGGGGGTCCAGCCCCCGAGCATGCAGCCGGGTAGGGGTGTCGTCTGCAGTGCAAAAGGGGGCTGCTGTCAGAGAGCTCAGAAGATCCCATGGCCCAAATCCTTCGAGTTATTAATAGAGCCCTGAGAGGGCACAACATTTGTATCCGTGGGCACAGAAACGATCCCCGGATTTCTGCAACCACATCCACGGAGGCAGTGACCCGCAGATACGAAGCAGGAAGCCGCGGCCCGGCAGGAGAAAGGCTCCTTGGAGAATCCGACCCAATGACCTGAGGAGCAATGTGGAACCGTGCCGGGCGGGGGTGACTTACGCTCCTCCAGCTCTTCCTGCAATTCCTTGCTGCGCGCCTGGCTGTCCTGCAGCTCCTGGCTCAGAGCCTGCTTAGCTATGGCAAGACCAAGCGGGTTGGGGGGAAGGTGAGGAGAGAGAGAGAGACTTCTTTGGGGCTGGAGAGGTGGGGTGTGTAATGAGGAGGGGTGGATAGACGGAGGGGTGTACGTGGGGAGGGGTAGACAGAGGGGTTCCACGAGGAGTAACGGTAGTTCGGAATAGGAAGCCTAATCCGAACTACCTAGTCCGTGCCGCGTGTAGCCGTGGGCACAGAGTCCGAACTAGCGGACATTTAAAAATGGCGGCGCCCGGCAATATGCAAATGAAGCCCGGGAATTCAAATCCCAGGCTTCATTTGCAACTTCGGTTGCCTACATTAACCACCCTAGTTCGAACTAGGGCGGTAGTGTAGACATACCCCTATTTAGCAATTCAAATGTTGGCGGGGACATGGGGGGCAGTGCTACGGTCCCGGCAATGAGGGTGCGGGGGAACAGGCTGTAACGGGAGCACTCTCCCTTCCCTTCCCCTCCCCTCCCCTCACCTCGCTGCAGTTTCCTGAGCCTTCCTACCAGGTCGTCCATTCGGGGCTCCAGTGTCCCTGCTGCGGAGGGAAGGGGAAGGGCTTGCCTGGTTGTGCTCCTGACAAGGGTCCTTCACCCCCAGCTCTTTGGAGCGTGCCCGGGGGGGAAGCGGTTATTCCTGGCTCCGCTTACGGAGGGGCAGGGGACTGAGACACAGAGAAGTCACACCGAAAGTCATGGGCAGAGCCAGGAAAAGAACAAAACCCCCCCCCTTACAGACTCCAGGCTAGATGCCCCCCTCCTCCCAGAGCTGGGGAGAAAACCCAGGTGTCCTGGCTTGCAGG